AATGGATACCGCTTTCGAACACAATATGTCCATTACAACTCATGATTTGCTGAGGATTTGGAGATGTCATTGCTTGTTTTTTGCGTGGCAAACTCCGGTGATCTCTACAATGAGTTAGATGGCTCAATGATTATCCAACTGTAACGAGGTGGATGACTCGATGATTATCCCACTGTATCAAGGTGGATGACTCGATAATAGTCCAACTGTAATGAGGTGGAGGCTCGATGACATTCATTCCTTAGCTCGAGCTAAGAAAAGTTCCACGTTGTCCTGCATCTTTTCTGATGTCATCTGCACCTGTGGTTTGATTTGAGAATTCATCATCTTGGATGCTCTCGACAAAGAATGAGATAAACTCATTAGCATAAACTATAATTTAAATAAAGAAGTGATATGTTTTACCATATTCGACACATGTTCTTTTCTATAAATATTCTAACGTCAGCCTCCATCTATGTTGACGTAGTAGATGATGACTTGATATGATGTGGATGACGATGCTTCATTGATCAAAAGATGATGATCCATTGGTAGGATGATGATGATCCATTGGTAGTATAATGCTGCTACATGATAGGATGATGATGCCCCATTGGTAGGATGATGCTGATGTTCCATTGATAGGATGATGATTCTTTGTTGATGATCCATTGGTAGGATTATGTTGATGATCTATTGATAGGATTATGTTGATGCTCCATTGATAGGACGATGATTCTCCGTTGATGATCCATTGGTAAGATTATGTTGATGCTCCATTGATAGGATGATGATTCTTCATTAATGATCCATTGGTAGGATTATGCTGATCCATTGGCAGGATGATAATATTCCATCGATGAAATGATGGTGATGTCCTTCTGGGTGGTGGTACTATCTCATTTGATAATACTGTAGAAATGTCCCTCTAAGGGTTTCACATTACCGTGTCTGATATCGACACGATTTGTGAATATTCTTCAAACATTCTTGATGCTGAAAAATGTAATTTGATGTCATTGTAGATGCTTGTTTGAAAGTGATGCTTTCACCTGTTCATATTTGAACATTTGTACTCATTGTGACTAATATTTTGCTGGACATTTGAATGAGGTGTTGTTGCTCATATTCTGAAATGTTTCATTTTTCTTCTAAAAAACTTCAATGACTTTCCTGCATCCACAGAAAAGTTGTCAATTTTGGGGAGCTCCTCGCCCTTTTGACTTCTCCATATTCATTGAATAGAGGAATATGATGATCTTGAGGTGAACTTATAGACCTGCATCCACAGAAAAATTATTAGTTTTTAAGACAAACTGATCTGTGTTGAGTTCTTCAATTGCTCGCTCCTTGTCTTGATATCTTCGATTGATCACTCTGATCTCTTGCTTCTCAATAGACATAAGATGAAATTATACAAAATATTTGTCATATCAAAAGCCTTAAGAGGATTTTCAAAAAAACAACTTGGAAAATGTCACTGTCAAATGTCTTGTCATGCATAGCTTAAATGAACGTCCTTAGTTTGAAATTTTGGTGTATCTGATAGCTTGTTCTGGATAATTCAAAAATCCTTAAAGCTTGGGAAATTTCTGACACAATCCTACCGAAATCTGCTATAAATGAAAGGTTTTGTAGTTGACTCTAAGATCCAAAGGTGTCGGAGATTGCTGTAGTTGACATTGAACTTTAGCGATGCTTGAGAAATTTGAAGTTAGCTTTAAACTTCTAATATGCTTGAAATATTCAAAATTTACTACAAACTTCTAATGATGCTTGAAGAAATTTTTGTGGTCATCCTCAAAAATTTATGTCCTAGTTAGTTGTCTTGGGATATCTCTAACTGTTGATATATGACTTGTAGAATTTTTAAGACCCTTTCAAAAATTTTGTCCCAGTTGCGATTCTCAATGTATCTTCAATCTTGACTTGTTGTGGAGATCTTCTTTTTTGAGAATTTTTTAGTTCCTCTCAAAAATTCTGTCTCAGTTTCTATTGTAAAGAAAAATAGAAATCTTATGGGAGATATGACCGAGCCGTTGTGGTACCTACGTATCCCGTTGATGCAGGAATCAGGTCAAACGTAGTTCCCATCTTAAGGATTAAAAAATAAGAAAATTTAACTAAGGAAACTACTGAGGCCGACACAGGCCGCTTACGTATCTCAGTTTTGAGAATTCAGGTCAAACGTAATTCAAATACAAAAGGGAAATATTGAAAATATATGAAGGGGTGACCGAAGCCGACATAGGCCTCCTACGTATCTCATTCTTGAGAATTCAGGTCAGACGTAGTTCATTACAAGAGATAAATTTCTAACTACAAAACATAAGACGATTACAAACAAATACATCAATGTATTTTCTTAAGTAAAATGTTGAGTTCCCTTTTTCGAGCTTCTCTCAGATGGACCCTGATTCTAACTTCTTTGACACGGTCATTCTTTGCAATATTTGTCTGATCCAAATTCGACTTATCTTGAGTCTCGAACTATTTCAAAACTTGACAAGGTGTTCGAATATCATGATATTATCATCATACTCTTCAAATTCATCTTCATCTACTTCATTTTTGTTCATTCAACTTGTGACATGACATGATATTGACAGATTTATAAAAAAAACTTTTACTGAAACAAAAACAAATATTGTTAGATAGCAGAATTAAAGCAAATAAAATAAATTTTCGTAATAGAAGAGGCCTTCATTGAAAACAGGGAAATACGAACTTTGGCCATGACCATGAGTCATTTTGCCTTTTTCAAAACATTACGAGGGAAATTAAAACTTAAACAAGTAAAATTGCATAAAAGGTGGGTCTCGAGACTCTTTCGAACTACCACCGATTTTAGAAATAGCATAAAATTCATCTTTGTCTATCAAAATGAGCAAGGAATCAAGAGTGGAGTGGAAGTCCAATTAAGAACTTGCTCCATTGGCTCGGTATCTCGTATGCCTGATGTCTCGATCATCCTCTTGGGCGCAACATCACCTTCTTAAAAAAGATCCCCAATTCCTTCTACAAGACCGTCATCATTGGCATATTCCTCTACCAGAAAGAACTGACGTAAATGAGGCAAATACTTTGGTGGAATATGATTAATCCCCTTATTGTTCTGACCCTCTCTTGACACAGAAGCAAAAGCTTGATAGAGTGTCATGCTCGTAAAATTGAGTTTCTCACTTATGCTTGGAGAAACTACAACTTTCTCGAGGTTGTCAGGACCAATCGGGACTATCGCCTTTACCATGCAGCACTCATCCTCCGTCTTTATCAATAGTGGCACCTCCATAGTTCGGTAGAGGATTACTGTTGACGTTGGGTACAGTGGTCTCGACCATTTTCTGGTCGATCAAGTCCTGAATCATGTGCTTCAAATTAATACAGTCTTCAGTATCATGCCCAACACCGTTGGAATGATATGCACATCTTCGATCGGCTCGATAAAATCTTGAGCTAGTATCAACTAGCTTAGGCTTGATTGGATGAATAATACCTACCGCACTCAATCGCTCAAACAACATCGTCCGACTTTCAATAAGAGGAGTAAACTTTCGAGCAGGTTTCTTCTCAAGACATGGACGATGGGAATCATAACTGCCTTGCTGAGGGGGAGGCATTTGATGATAATTTGGGGCATTTTGACGGGGAGGTGCTTCAGGCTTTGGGTCAATCATGTTAATAGTGAATGCTCCACGATTCATCAGTGAATTACCATTGGCATCAGAATTGACAGCTTGAAGGGTGACAATTCTTTGATCAATTAAGTCTTGAATTTTATGCTTCAAGTTGATGCAATCCTTAGTGGTATGTCCAGCACCCCCTGAATGTTAAGCACAATGAAGATCGGACCTGTAAAGTCTGGAATTGACATTTACATTTTTTGGATCAATTGTTTGTATTAGACTAGCCATTTTCAATCTCTCAACGAGTTGGATTCGACTTTCTACCAAATGAGTAAAGACTCGAGAAGATTTCTTCAAAAACTCCTGACAAGAAAGATTGTAATTATTTCTTGAAGATGGAGGTACTTGGTGGTAACTGGAAGGATTTTGGCGAGTAGGTGCTGGTGTTTAGAAATTTTGGTATTGTGGAGCTTGGTAGATATGAGGGTCATTTGGGTAATTTGGCAATGCAACTTGGCAACTTGATTGAGCATTTGAGTAATTTGGCAATGGAGCTTGGTAATTTGGATGATTTGGTGGTGGAGTTTGGTAATTTGGTTTGATGGGGTAAGGATTTTGTGGAGCTAAAGGGTAGATTTTGGATGGTAAAGACTTTCGAACATTGAGACCAGCATGCCTCTTTTGATTTTCGGCTTGATTCAAATGAGATAGAGGAAACATCTTCCATCTTCCTCCTCAATAGCCCCGAGGATTCATCTTGGGGAGTCATTTGGATGATTTTTTTGGTCTTGAGACCGTCTTCAATAGCTTCACCAATTTTGACTATCTCACTGAACTTTCCTCCTAAAATGAACAACATCCTATTGTAGTACTCCGGCTCTTGAATGCGCACAAAGACTTCAATAATCTCTTTCTCGGTCATGAAAGGTCTAACCCTTGCAACCTCTCTTCTCCAATGGTAGGCATACTCTCAATAGCTTTAGTAGAATTCTGTTTGATTCTCTCCAAAGAGTATCGATCGGGAATGAATTATATATTGTAACCAAACCTTTCAATGAAGTCTTTAGCCAAAGTGTTCCAACTTGGCCACTGCTTGATTTCTTTAGAAATAAACCATTCCAATGCTTCTCCTTTTAGACTTCGTCTAAAGAGTCGCATCAACAAAGCTTCATCTTTCCCTACTCCAATAAGTTGATCACAATAAGCCCTCAAATGAGTCAAAGAATTTTCAACTCCACTAAAAATGTCAAATTTTGGTACTTTAAAACCTTTTGGAAGCTCCAAATGTGGATGGCAACACAAATCTTCATAATTCAACCCCACAATGTCTAGGGTGTATTGAAAGTCCTTCATTGCATTCATGACTTCCTCTTTGATGCCTTGGTCAACCTTTCATTTTATGACCTTCCACTCCTTCTCCTTCTTCTCACAATCATCGAGTTCAATATGTGTGGTAAATGGAGGGTATGATTCTGGCGATATTGAAATATGACAATCAGTTTTTAGAGGAATGGGTTGAGTGGTAGGTGGATTTTGGACAATTTGAGTAGGGGTTTGACGGACCGAAGGAATATTCTGGAAAATGTTGGTATTTGGATTTTGAGGAGTAGGTAACTTTTGGTGTGAGGAGCTAGCATGATGTGTGTTAAGGGTGGTTAAGTCGATGATGGAAGGTTTTGGATTCGTAGCGGTGGACGAATTATTTGGAAAACGTTCGGATGTTGGATTCGAAGTAGGAAAATGGAGTGGAGGTCTTTCACTGTCTGGAGTAGGAATGTTGGCAACAATAGCCAGATTCGTCAAATCTCGAGTCTTATCCATTTCAGCCCTCATTTCAGCAATCTGTTGGAACAATTGTGCAATCAACTTGTTCTGTTAAGCAAGGATGGGGTCATTCACAGTAATTTCGGTCAAATTAGTGTTATCAACATTTTCAACCACTTTTCCTTTGCCTTTTGACAAACATTGGTCGGAGAAGGAATCTTTGGGGTCTTTAGACCTTGTGAAGTATGGATGTCCAGCCATTTTATCAACACATATCAGTTTTGAGTACCTGGTAAAGAAAAATAACTCAAAGACAAATGTGTTAGTCTGTGTCGGTAATAAATAGTACAAAATATCACACACATTACTATAAACACATAAGGGTTGCTTCATTTGAAGATAAACTAGCCCACAAATATAGAGAAATGACTAAATAGACAGGAATTTGTCTATTTGATTTTGAGATTAGTGAATCAGAAATGTCGACTTGAGTCGAGACAAGTGGATTGTATTGTCATACTTCTGATTTTTGATTGAGATGAATTTCTCATCTCATTGCAAGAGTTGGAAAAGATAGGATTTCTCAAAAATGGGGACCGAGCCTTGAAAGACTGCATACATATCTCTCAGAGGAGAATTCAGGTCCTTACGTAGTTCAACCTTCCTTTTTGACTTGCGACAAAAAATCGACCTTTTTCGAGACGGGAGAGTAAGGATTTGAAAGTGAAGTTCAAAATATTTGTTTTTGGAAAACTAAAGACTCGAAGAATATTTTGGACGCACTTCCGATAGTAACTTAATATTTGTGCTTAAGGGATTCTAGAAAATTTCCAAAATAGTAGGCTAGAACATCTTCAAACAAAGCAACATATTCACATAAGCAGTTATAACACATAAACAATTATTACGCGTTTTAAACAGATATGTGACCCTTTTGTGTCAAGGGTAGACCTAATGATTTGAAGGTTGTATAACGTTGTTTGAAACATCCCATTGCCCCAAAACTCAAATTTATACAAACTTTATAAATAAATTGAATGGGGATACATAATAGGTGAAATGGATGCAAATAATCAATCCCACGCAGGGGTACAATCCTAAACTATGCTTCCATGGAAGGTTTTTCTTCTTTCTTTATTTCTTGTCATCTCTGGATGTCCATCCCTTCTGAGTAGTAACTTGTGAAAATCCTCCTACGACTAGAAAAAGCTATTAAAATTTACTCTCAACACCAGGGGACAGTAACTTTTTCAAATAGCATATACATTCTTCAAATTTAACACATAAGTATGAACGTCCTTTTAGGCCTAGGACGTTTTGGACTCAAGATAGTCTTTCTAAAGGGCTCAACACCTTGGGTGTTGGGTCATCTTAGTCCAATGCACTAAATTTTGGGATTGGATTTAACTCTACACTAGTTTGACTAAGAGTGAGCTTTATATTTAGTGGATCGGTGACCCAAGCGGACTACTTGGGCTAGAACAGTTAACGATCGTTGACCATCCAGTGGCCAACTACATTCGCCAGGGTGCCCCGAGAACAATTTGGTTAACGAACGACTGTGGCCCGCATAATCGTCCTTTAAGTAAAAGTGAAAATAAGTGTCGTTTGATGGAATATATGTCATGCTATGAATGCAGCAGTTTAATAATACGGAAAATTAAACAAATGAGCAAATAAACAACAAACATTTAGCGAAACAAATTAATTTGAAGGTTAGAACCCAATTCAAATCCTCGGCAGAGTTGCCATTATGTTTTATATTAAAAAATAGAAAACGATTGATTTTAAGAGTCGCCACTTAATTTTCAAAAAGAAATTAAGAAAACTGATATTTTCCAAAAAGATTAAAACAGAAATATAATGAAAATATTCAAAGGGGTTCGGGGTTCTTATTAGCATTTCGGGAATGGTTTGAAAGCACCCAAAATGCTCGCTAATATGCGGTTATCCGGCAATTAATTATTTGGCTAAACGATTTTAAGAAAATACGCATACTTGAATAAATAGAGATAACAACTTAACACTTGAAATTGTTTTAAAGGGAAAGGGAGATAATATAAAGATATTACTTAAGTACTAGATATTTCAAAATAATTCAAGTGATAAAATAAGTAAAATTATTTTGTCTTTAGGAAATCTCGAAATGACTATCTGTTGGGGAAATCGAATTAGGTCAATCTTAAAATTGAGTAGCAAATAAATAGTTAAACAAATACGAAATAGATAAAATAAAGAGAGAGTGTGTGTGTGTGTTTTGGGCCCAAGTCTGATTTTATGTCCGTCTGGGCCAGTACTTGGGCCTAATTTCATTTTGTACCTTTTAGCTCATTTGCACCTGTCCTAGACTATCATAAAAATTGAATTTTCTTTTGGGCTTTAGGTCCAATTTCACATGTCCTAAAACTAACATATGACACTAAAAATAAATGGGCCTATGGCCCAATTACAACAAAACAGAAAACAAAAAAAAAAACTGGAACTTTGGGAGGGGAGGGAGGGGGGGGAGGGATTCTCAAGCCCATTTCTGCTCCAATATACACTGGATGTATATCACTATATATCTTATGTATACGACACATATACCGAGGCCTGTATATCAGCTATAGACACATGTACATCAATTCCAAAGACTCGTTTTTGATTCTTCATGACTAGCCGACTCAATAAAGGTAGAATTGGGCCTCCGTGACCCAATAAGAAGATGCAAGGATAGGAGAAAGAGTCCATGAGGACTCGGAGGCATATTTCACATGCACAATAAAATGAAAAGAAAACATAAGTAACGCTCAGAATAAATCATAATAGAAAAATGCAATAGTGATATTTCTAAAAGTAAAACAACAAACCAAAAGAAAAATGATTTACATAGGATAATCAAAAGTAAAGAGCCAAGACTTCTTCATCAAAAAGCTAACAACATGCTAATGAATAGAATCAATCCAAATGAATACACATCAACTAACAGACTAGGAAGTAAATTATTAAGAACTAACTTAGACCATAACACTTCAATTTTATCAAATTGACTCTTATAACAGACATATAATATGAACAACAAATCTCAACTAAACTCTAAAAAAAAGAGAACATTAAATTAACCTACCAGATGATCAAACCAAATAAAAAAAACTACCATCGTAGCCGATACATACTCTGTTCAGTGAACAAGATGGAACAAACGGAAATAGTATCTATAATTTCTAGAAAAAAAAACACATTCGAACTAGACCTGAACAACATCTAAGCGACAGGAAACATGATCAAATAAACAAAAATGGAAGGATCAATCATGCCACAACACAACTATAACAAGGCCAGACTCCATTGATCTAAACAAAATTGTTAATCTAAAACTCGGAGATAAGAGTAAAAAAAGGAACTGATCCTTTGACATCTTGAAAGCATGTGACAAACAAAGAACATTAACTCAACAAAACACAAACAGAGCAGTATCAATGCGCTTAACAAGTGAACAAGCAAAAATGAAAATGAGCACAACAACCAATGAACTCGAGAAAGACCATAAACATAGAGAACATGCTTAAACATGCGATAACATCTTTAGAATGAAAACATACACTGCCGATTTCTGAGAGAAATAAGATGATCAAAACAAGTCATATGAACTCATCTCGGAATCAACAAGGAATATTTTACGATTCATCACTCATTGGAATAGGAATGAAGAAAAAAAAAGGCCAAAAGTTGTTTACCTATTCTTGAGCAGCGTAACTGAGACCAGAACGAGCCGGGAGCTTTCTACGACCACAACGAGATTTCGAGAACTCCAACGAGCTTCGGCAAACAACGAACAAAGAAAAGAGAACCTTTGTTGAGTATATATGGCTATTTTAAAATTAGTATTTTCTATGAATATCTCTCTTCTAGATCTTTTTCATTTCTTTTTTTCTCCAACCTTTATATATAAACTATGTTCTTCCACCTCTATTTTTTTTTCCACCCCTAAACTGAATGTAAAGAGGGGCTTTATATAGAGGGAATTAGGGCAGATTGGGGGGAGGGTGGGGGGGGGGAATCGGGTGAAGCAAATGGGATGAATTTCTCATTTAAAATTCAAAAAATCTCTAAGTGATAAGGTTGTGAGAGCCGGAATAGTACTTATTTCGTACAATTCCAACGGATTCGAGATGATAGCCGCTCGATCTTGGATGAAGGACGAAGAGGTAACACGATGCTTCCACCTGTATCGATTGAGAAAATTATGTACGAGGGATAAGGACGAGGGGAGAACGACGCACGATGGGCTGGATTCGCTGGGCTCGCGTCTGGACTGCTGCTCGCATTTCAGTCACGATTTTTGGGCTCCTGCTATTGGGTTTCACGTCTGGAGTATAAGACACAGGCAGTGGGGTCGGCTGGTGTATGTATTGTTGGTTGAAAGAATTGATGGGTCTTTCTTTTGGTATATAAAAGTGTTGAGTCGGGTTAAGGGATAAAAGTGGGCTGGGAATATTAGTAGGCTGCTTAGAATTTTAATATTGGTGTACGTATTATGTTTTGGATTTGTTTAGTGGAGTTAGAAAGAATGGGTTTGGGCTAGGAATGTGAGGAAATGGAACCGGTGGGCTGGAAGAATTTAGAATGGGTCCATTGAATTGTGAATATAGTCAAATTGAAATTACTTAGCAAACTCGACTAACAAATAAGTAAAGACGAATTAATATAATTACCCAACGAGCTTCCTAATCTTAACGAAATAAAATAGTTAACTCAAATATTAACTAAATAATTTAAAATATAAACTATTATATAACTTAACTAATTAACAAAATATTTAATTAAAATAAAAAAAATTGAGACGATTTTCGAATAATCATAAAATATACTAATTATATATATAATTATGTAAAACATATATATTATCTAAAAATTATAAAAAGTGACAAAATTATTTAAAATAACTTGCAAGCTATATTATTACTCCCTCTGTCCCATTTTATGTGGCACCATTTCCATTTTGGTCAGTCCCAAAAAAAATGTCACATTTCCTTATATGGTAAGTATTTAAAGGTACAATTCCTCTTTTATCCTTGTTGGTCTCACTTAATCTTAAAATAATACTTCAATACATTTAGGAGGAGAGAAAAGTGAGTCTACTTTTTAAAGGGCAATTTGGTAAACATTTTAAAGTCTTCATTTATTTCTTAAACTACGTGCCTGGTCAAATGTTGTGTAATGACCCTCCAGGTCATTTTTAAATTAAAGAATTCTTTCCCTCGTATAGAGCATTCTTGTAGCGACCCCAAGTTATTTATGACTTGCTGG